GAAGAGTACACTTTCATTTGTAATACAGCTTGCAGTTCAGAGATATATTTAAATAAATTATCTACAGCAGAACATCAGAATAATTTATTCTGAAACATGTATTTCAAGTAAAACATAAATAGTGTAGTTACAGAACCCATGTATTTTACATGCATTGATTTTTAATGTTTTAAACAGCCAATTCTCAAATTTAAGAAATGAAGAAATTCATTTCATAACGAACAAAATTCATTCATAAACAGAAAGATCAGAATCTTATTAAGCAGTGTATTTGTGGGAAAAAAATTCTGTTCCCTCAAAGGCATCCATGGTTATTCCGTAACTAGCACAAAACAAACTCTAGAACATTTTGAGACTGCACTTGGCCAACTGAAATCAACAAGATATGAACAGGAATGTACATGACTGCAGCATTTTAGATAAGCTGTACAAATTACAGCTTTCAGACCAACTTATGGTTTTCAAGAGCACAACACCCATTTCTGATGCTAAATATCTGTAAAAGTTAAAACACAACATTGCATGTGCATGCACATGTCTACATCTTGCTACAGTTTTTCATCCAGTTTTGGAAGCTTTAGCTGGCACAAAATGCAGCTGCTGTCTGCTGAGAAAGGTGTGGTTAAAGTCCACATCAGTTGAAATCCTCAAGCGGCTGGGAAAATAGCACAGAGGTGGAAGTGATCATGAAGGGCTTTTGCAAGCATGTTGCACAACAGAGAGGCTCACTTTGGCAGTTGTGACACCAAACTATGAGAACTGGCCCCTGTCTGGAAGCCTGAAAAGCTGCTTTGCTATACACCTGCCCTCTATATAACTTACTTATCAAGTATAAGGTTTTTTATACTTTCTTTACAGAAGTACTTTGCCACTGTGTTTTTAAACCCTGATCTGTTGTATGATATGCTCTTTGGGTTATATTAACCTAACCCTTACTGAGTTTCTATGACCAAGTCAATATTCGAACCATGTTCTCCAGAGCCCTGGTCCATCATATAGCATTGTACTCTGAATATAAATGAGATACGTTTAAGCTTCTTTTCTGAAGTGTAACTCATTACACCAGTGGTCTCCAACATTGGACCTACAGATATTCTTGGACTTCTCCCAGAAATCCTAGCCAGCAGAGGTGGTGGTGAAATCTTCTGGGAGTTGTAGTCCAAGAACATCCGGAGGGCCAAGGATGAGGACCACTGCATTACACTATAGTCAACAACTCAAAATCTACAAACACCCAAATATTACACTGTTATCCTATCTACAATTCTACTCCGAAAAAGTATCCTCCCTGAGTGCAACACATACTCTCAAGAAAGTGTATGTAAGACTGTAGTCTAATTTCACATTTCTGAGAACATAGACAGTTTGGAAACAGTACCTGTTCTTACCTGCAAAATATCTGTCAACTAGCAATGACACAATCAGACGCTACAGCTGATGTCACTTAAGACAGAAACAACATGCCTTGTCACTTCTGCCAGCATATAATGTGCTGAGTAGTAAATTCCCAGCAGAGTGTTTTCCTGAAACTTTAAACTTTTAATCACATACTCTTAAATGTCACTGTATCATCCCTTTTCTCTGATACTGACATCAACCCCCTGGTCTTCTCACTTAATTGAGGTAATGGTGCCTTTAAATTATCAGCAGAATAAATGTGTTTTCTTCAATAATCTTCACTTTTTTCCTCTTTTGCTGCCACCTACCTTTAGCTGCTCATTTGTGTGTGCATATTCAATCCTTATGACACCCTGCACACAGCCAGCCCTCAGGTACTGAATTGAACACCACTCAGTTTGCTTAGAACAAAGTGTTATTAAAATAAGAATGTGACAAAAAAACCAATGTTTATTCCAGGACTTTAAATTAATCTACTACAAGCTTTCCCATTCTATTACTTCTTCCCCCCTCAACCTCTCAGACTGCTCTCTCTCAGACTCCCTGATCCCATTACCCCTCTCTCCCCAATCTCTCCATACCAGACTGCTCTAGGTCAGATTTAAAAGCTCATGTGTCAACACAATACTCTCCCCCTCCTTACCTAGTTTTTCTCCCCACCAATCAGAAGCATTCTTACCAACATTTCATGTTCTTCACTCCCCCCCTTCCATTACACAGTTTACCAAAACCATATAAACAACACATTTAAATATGACCAGGCATCACAATTACAAAGCCAAAAATTATTTTTAAGATCTAATGTTCATTAATTCTAGTGAGTAAGAGACACTAAAAGAATTAAAGAGTAGACAGTTACATTTAAATTAATTTAAACCAATGTTTAAATAATTCAATTACTGCACTGGTTAAACAGTACAAGAGTGCTCAAAATTATGTACTGTATCTGGGTATCTAAACCTGTGCATAGTCTGAGGTTACTGGAGGCCCTGTCATATCATCAAAAGGGCAACAGGAGACATGGCACTTCCTGTGGATGCACCTGCTATGAAATCCCCTGAAGGAAATGAGAATAGAAGTACTGATGTAAGCAGTGAAAAATTATTTAGCTCTTAACTTTGAAATGGAAGGCTTCAACTCCGCTTTTTCTGGTTTGACAAGGGGTGCTGATAAGTATTGAGCCTTACCCAGAAAAATATTAAGCTAAGAAGCTATAAACTGCAGGGTGTATTGACCAATTTGTCTGTATTCAATGGTGCAAAAATCAATTACCTATTATTTTAACTTATCTTTCATGTTCAGGTCCAAAGTGAACATGGCGGCACCTCCACAAAAGTTCAATATGAAAGAGCATAAGACCATATTTTATTTGCAGGGACTTAAGAAGCTGCAGGACAGATGTCGCAAGTGCACTGACTTCCTGGGGGAATATGTAGAATAGTGTGGCAGTTACAGCTTCCTACCTCAATTTTTTCTGGGAAAGGCTCAATACTTATCAGCATAAAGACCCATGTTTTCAAGTAAACATGCTTAGAATCATGGACGTTCATTGTTGGAGGGAGAGCAAGGGAAGGGACTTATCAGCACCCCCTCGCATAGGTTTAGCTTCACTCTTTGTTAATGCCTTGTTTGAACATGTACTGCTTTCGAAACCCTTACAAGAAAGAAAAAGAAATGTGACATGTAAACAAAAAAATTAAAAATGCTAAATGATGAAGCCAAGAGCAACAAAAGCAGTAGTTGCATAGCTTTTCTTTCAGTACTATTATTGTTTGAACACATTTCTTTATTTTATTGATTTATATATCACCCCGTTAACACAATGCACTATTTTGGGTGCTTCACAATTGATATGACAAACAAAGGCAAAAACAGTGAAATTCATACAGAGTCAAGCCATAAACATTCAAAATATAGGCTGTCCAACATTTCCATAATAATTGGCAGGGCATAAGGAAAATGTACTAGAAAGAACAGCCCAGTTGACCCATAATAGTCCAGTCACTCTAAATCCTTGAATTTGTCCTTGAGCCAAAAACAAACAAGCCCAGCAGTCATCAGAGTTAGTTTCACAACAGAGAGTGGAGGAAGTCTGATATCTAAGTAGCTCACAAGCACTGTAAAACTTGGGAGAAACACAAGAAAGAAAAAGAAAAGTAACATGTAAAAAAAATTAAAAATGCTAAATGAAGCCAAGAGCAACAAAAGCAGTAGTTGCATAGCTTTTCTTTCAGTGCTATTATTGTTTGAACACATTTCTTTATTTTATTGATTTATATATCACCCCATTAACACTATGCACTATTTTGGGTGCTTCACAATTGATATGACAAACAAAGGCAAAAACAGTGAAATTCATACAGAGTCAAGCCATAAACATTCAAAATATAGGCTGTCCAACATTTCCATAATAATTGGCAGGGCATAAGGAAAATGTACTAGAAAGAACAGCCCAGTTGACCCATAATAGTCCAGTCACTCTAAATCCTTGAATTTGTCCTTGAGCCAAAAACAAACAAGCCCAGCAGTCATCAGAGTTAGTTTCACACCAAAGAGTGGAGGAAGTCTGATATCTAGGTAGCTCACAAGCACTGTAAAACTTGGGAGCAGCAGCTGAGAAGATAAACAACCCTGCTTCCGCATTGTATAGGAAGATTCTTTTTAATGGGGAGAAGTACTATGGAGTGTATCATAGGTAATGACAAAATAAAAGAACCAATAAAAAAGGCGAAAACGTTGGGGGCACCTTAAAGACTGTTATATATTTTGTCATAACAGTTTAAGGTGGCCCCGTATTTTCGTCTTTTTTATTTGTTCTTTTATATTTATTTAAGGTGCCCCCGCATTTTTGTCTTTTTTATTTGTTCTTTTATATTTATTTATCTCCCCCCTTTGGCTTTGTTTTTATTTATAACGCTCCCACAGACTAACAGGGCTATCTCTTCTATAAAAAACTACGGACTTCTTGCTTCACCGCGGGAGGAGGGCTCACTTTCTCCCCGGAGGCAAACCAGAGACCTCCGCCACTCAGAAGCCCCACCGAAGCTGCCCGCAGGTCGGTTCAGTAGCGAGCCCACCTCTATGCCGGCGAGCTCACTCTCGGGATCTCCTCGGGGGAAAAAAAGAAATTCCCCAACCGCGCCTCATCACATGAGACGGGAGGGGCCTTTTCTAAGGCCTGTCCAAGAGATCTGACCTTTCCTACCTCACTCGCTAAACAGGGGCCTGATCCACCATCACGAAGACTCCTTACACCAGTGACTTCCCGGGATCTGGGAACTGGGCTCCCCGGCTTCTGGCTCAACTCCCCGACTTCTCTCCACAGAGTTTGCCCCCGAGAGCCGGAAGAGGGGGGGTCGCCTGTTCCCCCCCCCCGCCCAGTTCCCAGGCTGAGTCGCAGAGCTTCTGGGCGGGTCGAGGCCTCTCAACCCGCTTTCCGTGCCTCGAAATGGCGCCCCGAAAGGTCCACCGGAGCCAGGCAGCCTCCCTCCCTCCCTCCCTTTCCCTCAGGCTGAGGGGGCAAAGCTTTCCTTCCAAGAGCCGACGCGTCTCTCCCCTCACCACCCGACCCTCTGCCGAAAGAAGGGGTTGCCCCGACTCACCCACATCCTGTTCGAACGGGTTGGAGGCGAAGAGAGGCATGATAATGGCGGCGGCGGCGGCGGCCAACGACAACCACCCCCACCAACCTCTCCTACCCCAACACCTCCGGGAGGCCGGTCTTCCCAGCTGGCTGGGCCGCGGGCAGCTGCCGCCTCAGGTGAGAAGGCGACGGGCTCAGTGCGCAGCAGCCTCCGCTCAACTCCTCCCCTCTCCGCTTCCTGTTCCGCCCGCGGACGTCATCGGACGGGGGACCTGCGTCTCCAACCCTCTCGCTCAGCTCCGGGTCGCCAAACGGATGCCTGACTCCGGCAGAGGTTTTAGTCAGAGACCGCTGCCTGGAAACTGAGTATAAAATGGAACGGCGAACCCTTCCACTCGGCTTCCTTTTGTCTTTTTCGGTACCGTTGTCCTAGAAGTAACAACTGAAGGGAAAAGATTGCGACCCGCGGGACAGGCGAGTGTTAGACAACTCCTCAAAGGGTCCTTAGAAGAAAGAGATCCGTATAGAGATAGAAATATAGAGGCGTACATTTTAGAGTTAAGGTTCCCTGGGTTTTCTTTTTAAAGGAAGTACGGTGGCGTCCAAGATAAATACCGATCCCCCCGGAGGGACGCTACATTGTTCTTATAAAAGCCTTCTCCGATCATATTATTGTTTAGATCCACCAAAAGGGATTAGCACTCTGTAGGTGGATATTTAACGGGAGTGCTTTGCAGCAAGAGAAAGGTTGGAAACAGAAGAGGAGGGGGGCGTTGATTGAAGATATCGTCCAACTCCTTCTGAATCTATCTATCTATCTATCTATCTATCTATCTATCTATCTATCTATCTATCTATCTATCTCCCGCTCATCTGGTCTATACGACCACTCTAGATTGGTCATTGCAATAATGTTATATTCAATCTTTGGTTAATATTAAGGTTGCATACCTGGATAAATTAGGTTTGACGGAACTCTGCACAATTCAAACGAATCACGCACGTCTTGTTGAATTCAACAACAACAACAACAAAAGGGTGGGGAAGCTAAGTGGTCCTTGTGCAAAATTCAAAAGCAAGGGTGGGTGGTGCCTGATGAAGCCCCCGTTTTGAAACTTGTTTTCTAATAAAGGCACTGGCATTCATATCTGGCCCTGATTTTGGGAACTTCTGTGTTTCCTCTAGCCAAGCCGCACAGTCCCAGAGTGCTCCCAGAAGAAGGGAGGTAAAGGTGAAGGTTCCCCTTGACAATTTTTGTCCAGTCGTGTTCGACTCTAGGGGGCGGTGCTCATCCCTGTTTCCAAGCCATAGAGCCAGCATATTGTCTGAAGACAATCTTCGGTGGTCACATGGCCAGTGCGACTTAGACACGGAACGCTGCTACCTTCCCACCAAGGTGGTCCCTATTGATCTACTTCCATTTGCATGCTTTCGAACCGCTAGGTTGGCGGGAGCGGGATTCGATCTTACGACTGCTTGGTCTTCTGACCCTGCAGCACAGGCTTCTGCGGTTTAGCCCGCAGCGCCACCACGTCCCTAGAAGAAGGGAAAGTTAAACCAAACCTGAGTAGTCTCTACCTGGAAAACCCTGAAGACGGTCGCCATAAGTCAGAATTAACTTCAAGGCACATGAATATTTATTATGTTTCTTCCATTTTGTGATGCCTATCCTGAGGAAGACCCATGCAGGGTCAAAGGCTGGCTTATATGATTTTTTTAGTGGCCACCCAGTGTGATCCAGCCTTGCTTTCAGATTTCTGAGTTCAGTGGAACATGTATTGCCCCATGGCAGTAGTTTTCAAGTAAGAAGGTATAAGGTTGTGTTTGAATCAGCGCTGAATCCCCATTTTTTATTACATAAAGGCAGGGAGCACTCCTTGTACCGTTTCTATTATACTTGGCTCTGGCCTACATCTGGGAAGAATGAAATACAGATTTAGCTGCTATTTGTGTTGTCTTCTAAACTAGCAGCATGCTTTTTGCTTTTTTTTTGTTTGTTTGTTTGATTATTTTAAACAGAAGGGTCCTGAAGGTGGCAGTGTTCTCCCAACAATAGCAGCCACAAGCCATCGGTTGACCGCTGTTGCTGCCTAGAGTTTGAAATGGAAGCTTCAGCACCTTTTCACTAGCCTGCCCTAGGATTCCTTGTTGCAGATCTCCTGAGACAAGACTGAGAAAAGGGAACACAAGACAGAATATGCAGCAATAGAGATGCAACATGCTTGTAGAATCCCTGTAGTCTGCCAGATATTGAAGTAGCAGGAATTATATACAGACAGAATCAGTGGAATTGCTGCTTCCTCAAGTCTGTAAAGATACAGTGTTGTTTGCTTTGTAGCTATTATCACAGATGTGACAGCTTTTTTAAAAAAAAAATCCATGGCAGTGTAATCAGCCTCTCATTACTGGCACATGGTATGTCCATGTTTCTGACCGAACTGTTCACCTCATTTGTTCTAATCAAGAATTATACCATGTTTTTCCCCCATTGATTTTGACCATTAGAAGAAATGATAGATAGCATCCTTACCTTGTGGGGGGAAGAATCTGTGGGCATGAAATGCTTTTTGCCTTGCCAGAAGAAAACAAGTAAGCTGTGCTCAGTTTCCCAAGGGGGAACAAGTGCTGCAAGTGAGTGAGCCTAGTTAATAATGGAGAAACTTAGTGGGTCAGTTAGAATGACCGCAGTGAGGTTAAGGAAAAGGGAACATATATGAAATAAAGAGAGAAGTAAATAAGAGTCTGGGGTCTAGATAAAGAGGGGAGTGGGAGATGTAAACAAAGGTGGGACTTCTTGTGATCTGTTTCAGTGTACCGGATAGGCTGTACAGCTTGGAGTACCTGACCAGTGGGGGAACAAGGGAGGGAGCATGCAGCCAGGAATAGGGGATAAATATCATGCTACCTGTATTGATGGGTGTGCCTACCCAGTTAGGACACCTGCTTTTGCAAAAGTCCTTTTTAGTAAAAGAGAGCTGATTGTATTTGTGGTTGTCTGGATAATATATTTAAGTAACAAGGGGTGAGAATTTCTCACGCAGCTTAACTTAAAAATAAGTACTACAATCCTGATGGAGACTGCAGCCAAGAAATCAGAAGAAGACTGGGATTCAGAAGAGCAGCAATGAAAGAATTAGAAAAGATCATCAAGTGTAAGGATGTGTCACTAGAGACCATCCACCCTATTGTATTTCTGGTCACCATGTATGGATGTGAAAGCTGGAGAGTAAAGAAAGCTGACAGAGATAAAAACTGATGTGTCTGAAATATGGTGCTGGAGGAGAGCTTTGTGGATATCCATCCTTTAGACATTGTGCAAAATGCAGGACTGCCTCTTGGCAGCCTTTGTAGAGTGTGTGGTGATGGACGAAGCTATACAATGCAGGGAGAAGTAAGTCCTTTTAAAAATGATCCTTTAAAAAAAGGTTTATTTTGAGTTTTTTTAAACCCTTTATTTATACATCAAAAACAATAGGTAGCATGGCCAATAGTCACACAAAGGCAAGCAAGGATAAATGGCAGGTAAACCATAATATGAAATCTTTTCATTAGTGAATCAGGCATGATTTTGAAAGGTCACAGATTGATATACTGCCATGTCTGACTTAGCTAAGCACTAGGTACTGCAACTTAGGATCTGTATTCAAACTGTTCAGTATCAGGAGCCTCATGGTGCAGTGGTTAAACTGCTGTACTGCAGCCAAAACTGTGCTCACGGGGTTCAATCCCAGTTAGCCAGCTCAAGGTTCACTCAGCCTTCCGTCCTTCTGAGGTTGTTAAAAGGAGTACCCAGCTTGCTGGGGGGGGGGGGCAATGTGTCACCTGCATAATTAACTTGTAAACCACCCAGAGAGTGCTTTAAGTGCTATGGGGCAGTATATAAGCAGCACGATTTGCTTTGCTTTGTCAATTAAATCGATGAGTAAATCAAGAGAGCTCAGTGGGTTGGTGTGCTTGACTATGGAGCTAGAATCACCTCTCTGGCTCCTGGAAGTGATACCAGGTGTGATCACTGGAATGTATGTGCCTGATGGGGTTGCCTGCCTTAAAGCTTGTGGAGGAAATTGTCTTTCTTCATCTCTATAGACAAATGGATGCCAGAGTCACTCAGTGAATCCTCCGTTGCCGTTTCTTTAAGTACTTGCCTTCTGCTTTCGTTGGGAGGAGAACCCCGCAGAAACATGGTAAAGTTGGAGAATTCATTTGGTGGCACAGCAGGCAGTTCCAAACCAATCCTAGAGTATGATGTGGCGGATAGAATGATATGAAGTCTTCGGTATCAAGCAGTCCTTGAATGATGATAGATTTCCTTGTGTTGGTTTTAATTCCTGCTCTGAATGACTATTCAGGTATTTTCCATAGTTTTTTTTAAAAAGGTGGGGGAGGCATATCTTTATTTTGCCACTAAAATATCAGAGATAGTATGTTGTGTATAGTGTCTTTACATTGTTTTCTCCAAATATAGCTAACAATGCTGAATCAGCATCTAATCTTAGGGGATTGGTTAGTAAATCCTGTCACGATTCCCACACAGCCCCTGCTTGTTTCACCAAACTAAGAGCTCATGCTACGTGTCTTTCAGCTTCCACCAATTGATTACATCAACATTACCTATTATTAATAATTGAGGTCCAGGGCATATGCCATTTTAAAAGAACCAGATAAAAATTGTTTATTGTTACAGATGTTGACAGAACAAGGAATGTTGTTAACTCTTAAACAAACATCCTCCTTTATCCACTCTGAACTACTACTCTCCTGCCCAAACTCCCAAAACTCTCTCAACTCTCCGTCTCTCAATCTAAACTCCCTGTCCTCCTGCTGAGTCTCTTATATCTCGTGACTCCACCCCTCCAGCACTCCCATTAGTCTATGCAGACATGATATTAATATTCATGACCTGGGCAGATGCCACAAATCCCTTCATCTCTATTTGGAGATTTCTGTAGAATTGATGTGGCCCAGGGGAATATTTGAGCCAGCCTGCATGGCTCTCCTGGGGGGGGGGGCGTCCTATGGAGCTATCCACGGTGCTACTTGCTTTGGTGGATTTTGCCTTACCAAAACCTAACCTCTGCTTTGTGTGGGTTTGGCCTTACCAGCATCCACCCTTTCCTCTGCTTGCCTTTGATTGGCATCCCCAGTTCCAGCAGAACCAACCTTATCCAGCTTAGCTCACTCCCTGTGATTGAACAAAGAAGTGAGATGGTTAATAATTTCAACACACAATGGCATTTCAAATCTCTTGTG